GGGGGGGTCCCTCTCTGCAGCCTGTGCTTTGGTGTCTCCGCCTTAGAGGAATTGGAAGTGGACGCATCCAAGGCAGTCTTGAACGGCAAGTAGAGAGAGAGGAAAGTGTAGCCTGAGGTGAGGAAGGAGTCACACTCCCATTTGTGGGCGTGGAAAGGGGCGATCAAAGGCCAATTTTTGTGTTTATAGAGGACTGCCCTGGACTGTTTTGCAGGGGCATCTGGACAAGGTGAGTCTGGGGACCCGCCCCTCCTCTCGGTGAGCAGCAGCGCCACCTGGCGGTCACGATACCGCGGTTCAGGCTCCCTTGGCATGGAGTGGCGTCTTGCGCCGGGAGGCTGGATACGCCCAGAAAACCTTAAACTGAATTTACTCCAGAGGGCGGGTGAGAAGGGCCTGAGGCTGAAAGGTAATCCTGAGGAGGCTGGGAAGGGCCTTGGGGAGGGGCTTAGCCCAACTACCCGACTTCCGTGACACTGTAAACACAGAAAGACAAAGTCCATTTGGATGGAAGTGGGAGCGGAGTGAAAAGGGCCATTTTGACTCAAGGGTCCAAGGAAATGACTGGTCTGACGGCCTGGGAGCCAGGGTTCCCAGGTACGGCCGCTCACCTTGGGACTAGCAGGTACTGGCTGGGACTAGCGGGTGGTCATGAAGCCCATTCTAAGTAGAGGGGAGAGACTAGCAGGCACACTTTGGCATCTGGTTTGATACTTTGGGCATTTATCTGGCTGCTTTGGGGAGGGAGACTTTCCAAGTCTGCCCTGGCAGGAGGTGGTTGAATTGTGGGATGCTAAAGTCTAGGTCAAAATGTAGTTTTCTGGAGCTGTTTAAGTGGGGGAGAATTCAGGACCTCTTTCAAGTTTGACTTGTGGGAAGATTTCATGGCCTAGAAAGCTGGGAAGGCTGGAGAGGGGCTAAAACCTTGGCCAAATGTCTGAGGGCATTCATAGTTGGAGTTTAGTTTGGGGTGGAGGTGCTGGGCAGGGGCTTTCAAAATGTGTAGGAACTTTAGAAAGGCATCCAATTTACTCTACTCCCCCATGAGTCATTCCTGGGGTCAGTGGTCTGAGGGGACGTCTAAAATTTAAGCTTCTGCTTTTTTTTTGTCTGGGTGCTGAGTTCTCAGTTATTCAGCTGAAAGCATTTAAAATATTCTTCTCCCCTAAATTTGGAGTCACTGTGGTTGTAAAAACAGACATGAGGTGCTAGACCAAAAGGTATGGGAGAGCCAGCATTTCAGGAACGCTCAGGAAGATCTGGACTCTATTATTGAAATGGTTACTGTGTTGGGACCTGGATATAGTCTTACAGCTGCTTTTTTCCATCTCTTAGGGTTTAAGGATAACTCTGGGGCCACGATGGCCATGATTCTCACAGTGGACCCCAGAATTCTGCATTATGAGCAATGTCAGGTGCCACTGGACTTGTTCTGAGACCCCTTCCCTAAAGGATGGCCAAGGGGCTCCTGGTGACCTATGCCCTCTGGGCTGTAGGGGGCCCTGCTGGGCTCCACCACCTGTACCTTGGACGGGATAGTCACGCACTGCTCTGGATGCTTACCCTTGGGGGTGGTGGCCTGGGTTGGCTCTGGGAGTTTTGGAAGCTACCAAGCTTTGTAGCTCAGGCCAACAGAGCCCAGGGGCAGAGGCAGAGGTCAGGAGGAGGGACACCCCCTCTGAGTCTCATTCGCTTTGCTGCCCAGATGATAGTGGGCATCTATTTTGGCCTTGTGGCTCTAATTAGCCTTTCCTTCATGACCAGCTTCTATATTGTGGGCCTCCCACTGGCAGTTGGCTTAGGGGTCTTGCTGGTGGCTGCTGTTGGCAACCAGACGTCAGACTTTAAGAACACTCTTGTGGCGGCATTTCTTACTTCCCCTATCTTCTATGGCCGCCCCATCGCCATCCTGCCCATCAGCCTGGCAGCCAGCATCACAGCCCAGAAGCATCGCCGCTACAAAGCTTCAGCTGGGTCAGAGACGCTCAGTGTGCGGCTCTACCGCCTGGGCTTAGCTTACCTTGCTTTCACCGGCCCGCTAGCATACAGTGCCCTCTGCAACACAGCTGCCACCATCAGCTATGTGGCAGAGACCCTTGGTTCCTTCTTGAGTTGGTTCAGCTTCTTCCCCCTCCTTGGCCGCCTCATGGAATCTGTTCTCCTCCTGCCTTACCGAGTCTGGAGCCTGCTCGTGGGGGATCCTGGCTTCAGCAGCAACTACTTCCAGGAGTGGGAGAAGCTCTATGAGTTTGTTCGCAGTTTTCAGGATGAGAAGCATCAGCTGGCTTTCCAGGTAAGGTTTTATTCCCTCTCATTCCTGTCTGCGATGGCTTGGGAGTTAGGCTAAGCCTTATTGGAGTTGATGTCCCTAATGTGGAAGTACTGTTTTCATGTCTGCTGGGCCAGGCCCCAGTAGGGTGTCCTGGCTTCTCTGGGTTTCTCTGTGCAATGGGTGAAGGTGCAGAGGCCCTAATAATGAATGGGAAAAAATATGTATATTTTTATATGCTTTTTTTTGAGGTATAACATATATAAAGTATACTAATTTTATGTATATACCTATGTAATCACCACTGAGATCAAGATATGGAATATTTTCATCCCTAAAAAGGTTCCCTTGTGCCCCCTTCCCCAATCTATACTCCTTTCTGCCGAAGTAACCTCTATTTTGTTACCAGAGATTAGTTTTGTCCGTTCTTGAATTTCATATAAATGGAATAATTTAGTATGTATTCTTCTGTGTCTTTCTTTTATTTAACATTATATCTGTGAGATTTATTCATACTGTTGCATACAATTATAAATTGTTTGTTTTCATTATTGTATGGTATCCCATTGTATGACTATACCAGAATTTATTTATCCACTCTATGTTAATGAACATTTGGTTTATTTCCAGTCTGGGACTATTCTGAATAAAGCTGCTATGAACATAAGAATGTTCATGTCTTTGGTGGACATACGTGCTTATTTCTCTTGTAAGGAGGAGATCTTGTCAGGGATGTAAAGTTCCAGGTTAGAAAATGGACAGCTGTGCTTAAAGGCAAATCCTGGTTCTTGCCATAAGATCCAGAGCTTGTTCATGTTTCAATCAGCTGGAATTCTAATCTGAGGTTCTGGACCTTTCCCACTGGCAAGTAGAAGCCAGCCCCAGAGATATCACAGCCTGACTTAGCAAGGGAGCAGGGACAGGCCCAGGTGCCCTGACAATTTATGGAATTCTAATTTGTCGGCTTCTGTTTCTCTAAGGTTTTGGGTCTCGTAGAGGGGGCAACAAATGAAGAAATACATCAGAGATACCGGGAGCTAGTGAAAATCTGGCACCCTGACCATAACCGGCACCAGACAGAGGAGGCTCAGAGGCACTTCATGGAGATCCAGGCTGCATATGAAGTCCTGAGTCAGCCCCGGAAGCCCAGGGGATCCTGGAGGTGGGGATAAACTTCCCTTTAAGGATGGACTCTTCCCGTTAGAGCTGGGTGGCTTGTCCCAGCACAGCTTTGCCCATGCAAGGCACCCAACAGCATTAAAGAAACTGTAGGCTTGTAGTGGAGAAGAAATACCTTAAAGGTGTGAGAAAGCTATTGTGATGGAAGAATGTATTTATGTATTGAATTTCGGAGTTCTTGGCTGTTGTATTCCTGACTGTTTTTTCTTGAAACCATATAGTGAAATGAAAGACATATTATAAAACCAATAAAATATCTTTTAGAGAATATACCACTTTATCCCACCCCTAGTACATTGATGAGTGAGGGAGGAAGGTTATTTAAAAAGATTTTTTATTGGGGAATTGGGGGAGGGGAACAGTATTGGGGAATTGGGGAAAGGGACCAGCCAAGTTGTTCTTCAATCTTCGTTGTGGAGGGCACCAGTCGCTATTTGGCTTCCCATTGGCAGCTCATGGCCTCTAAGCTCAAGGTGCTGTGTTCAATCTTAGTTGTGGGTGCGCGTAGCCACCATCCCATGTGGGAGTCGAACCAGCAGCCTTGTTGTTAAGAGCGCATGCTTTATCCACTGAGCCATCTAGGTGGCAGCTCAGCTCAAGGTGCCGAGTTCAGTCGTAGTTGAGGGTGGGCATAACCCACCATTGAACAGGCAATCTTGTTGTTACACCAGCTGAGCTATTCTGCCACCTGTTAGCAGCTCAGTGACAGCTCAGCTCAGGCGCAGCATCACTGGCTCATGTGGGAATCAAACCAGCGGCCCTGTTGCTCAGAGCTCATGCTCTTAAGCCAACTCTTAACTAACTGAGCCACTCGAGTGGCCCTAACTTTTTTTTTTTTTTAAATGTGCAATATACTGGGTTGGGAAATTGAAGGAAAAATATGAAAGTGCTAATATTTCACAAGCTGTCCTGTGACAAGAGGGATTTGATCTATTCTGTGGATTACTGAGAGGTGAGACTGGTGTTAAATTTCAACATTTCAGAAAAATATTTAAATTTCACTTATAGGAGAATTTCTAGGAGCTACACTTTTCCCAGGAAGGAACAAGCAGCTGTGGGATAGGGGGCAGTCCACCATCACAGACTCTTCTGCTTGGAAGAGAGCCCTCAAACTTTACATGGGTGGTTGGACCGACTGACTTTTTAGATCTTCTCAAAACTTGGGATCTAATTCTGAGCTACAACACCTTGCTCCCCGGGAGCTTACAATCTGGTGGGGGATAATAACACACAGGCACACAGATATCAAAGTCCATCTCGTTCAGTGTTCAAATGGGAACTGTTGATGAGCAGTTTCTATTTTTCCAACATGAACAAGGCTATAATAGATATCCTTAAATATGTGTACTCATGCTTTTTGTTTTTTTTGAGGCCAAATTCCAATAAGTGCTAATGTAGGGTCAAATAATATCTATTTAAAATTTTGATTGATATTGTATTTGGTTACTTCTGGAAAAGATTGTAACCATTTACACTTCCCCCAACAGAGTAAAAAAATGGCCTTTTTATTGTGACTGACATGGACTGTTATCACTTACATTTTTGCCAAATTGATGGGTGAGCAATATTATCTGCTTACTTTAATTTGCTGTTTCCCTGACACTTAGGGAAGTTCAGCATTTTTTCAAATGTTTATTGGGAACTTGTATTTCCTCTTCAATGAATTGCCTGAGCTTATCATCTGCCTGGTTTTTTTTAAAATTGTGTTCCTATTTGTCTTCATGAAATCTATTTTGTTGGTATCTTTACTTGTTAGAAACCTTAACCCTTTGTCTTATGCATTGTAGATATTTCCCCTAGTCTATTACTTGTCTTTTGATTGAGCATGGGTTTTAGAGTCAGAAGGATTAGGATTAGGATTTGAATCTGGTTCCATGATTTTCTAGCTATGTGATCGTGGGTTTATTTACCCTTAGTTTCCTCTAAAATTGAGATAATTATATGTACTTTATTATTATTTTTTAAAGATTTTGTTGGGGAGTTGGTGGAGGGGAACAGTGTTGGGGAATCGGGGAAGGGGAACAGACAAGTTGCTGTCCTTTTGTTCTTCAGTCTAGTTGTGGAGGACGTCGCTTCACTGGTCCATGTTGATATCATTGTGCTCTTTCTGGGTGAGGCAGTCGCTTGTCAGCCATTGGACAGCGACTCATGGCAGCTCACAAAAGTGCATACCAGCTGCAGGCCAGCCCCACGGCAGCCTATGCCATCGTTGGTGACTCATGGCAACCCAGCTCCAGGTCGAGCTGTTGTTCACCATCTTAGCTGTAGAGGGCGCAGTGTCACTGGCCCTCTTGTAGGATCCGAACCGGGGCCCTGCTGCTCAGAGCTGGCGTCCCAAGCCAACTCTTAACCAACGCGCCACTCAGCCGGCCCATAATATGTACTTTTAAAGTGTTGCTGTGGTAAAAAAGATAGTGTATGTTGAGTGAGCAAATATAACTAATAACTCCCTTTCCCCTTTTCAGCCTATGTAAGGAGACAGGACTTGAGTGTCTAGTGAGTTAACTGGTATAGAATGAAGGTTCTACCTGGAAGGCTGAATTTTCTGAGTGTATTTTGTATTTAAAAAAAAATTTCCTTTGGTTTCCAGTAAATCACTGTATGAATGCTTACACATAACCATTAGAAAGAAGTAAAAAAGAATGCTGGGTTGTGTTGTGGTGGTAGGGTTTCAAGTGGTCCCTCTCCCTCCTCACACTTCTCTAGACTCTCTCTTGTTTTATTTATTTATTTATTTTTTCAGCTGAGCCATTCTGCCACATGTTGGCAGCTCAGTGGCAGCTCAGCTTGGGCCAGGAATCGAACCGGCGACCCTGTTGTTCACAGTTCACACTCTTGAGCGAGCTCTTAACCAACGAGCCACTTGGCTGGCCCTCTCTTGTTTTATAACTGAGAAAAATTCCAGCCTTTCTTAGCTGTTTATGGGGAACCAGGGAAGTAGTTTGGGTTTGGCCTTCTTGGGCTATAGTTTTTAAATGGGGCAGAGCTTGTCTGAGCCAGTTGTGATGGCAGAAGTCCTCAGAAGGAGACAACGCCGAGGGTAAGATGAATTTTATGGGAAGGAGATTAAGAACTGCTTGTAAGATGGCCCTTTAAACCTGCAGATTCTCCTTGCACAAGTCTTGTCATCCTTTGGCAGATTCATTTCAATTAGGGAGTCTGTTCCCTGACATCTGGAGTCTCAGTCTTTCTATGCAGAAAAACAGAGGTATTTATATTTTATGAAGTGCTACACAGTATGGGTGGTCTGCTGCCCAACGCTTACCCCCATTGGTCACTTTAGTGTGGATTGGTATTAAGTTTTCCACAGGAGAGAGTTTTGTGGGTAGGAGCTGGGGCACTAGTGAAAAGTGAGAAAGAGGTTGAAGAATGTTTATCACCTCTTACTAGGAAAGACTGATTGAACCATGTTTAGATTTCATCTTCCTTCTTGTCCTGGCCCAGACTTTTTTTTTGGTAAGGATAACAATAACCTTTGATTGAACTATTTCTAGATTCTAGGCAACTTTTTAAGCACAATACATATGGTGATTGATGCCAATCAACTGATTCCATCAACTCCTCAGAGGTTATTATTTCCACTATATAGATTAATAGACACTCATAGGAAGATTAAGTGATTTACCCAATGACTTTTAAGTGGCTAAACTGGGCTTAAATTCTGACTATTATGACATAAATTTGTGCTAGCAGCCATGACATTTTATTTCTATTGCCATTTAAAAAAATTAAATATAATTATCATACAACATTATATTAGTTTCAAGTGTACAACATGATGATTTGATATTTGTATATGAGGTCTGACAGTTAAGTTCACTAACTCATTCTAGAAAAAGTGCTACATACCTCATGGCTGAATATCACTATAGTCACCTTCGAAGTACTCCCTTTGTGAAGCTATGCCCTGATGCCAGCGCCTAGTTCACCCTTCAAAGCAATTTTGGAACTCTTTTTCCGGAATGGCCATCAGAGCTGTCATTGTATTACCCTTGGTGTCCTGATTGTCATCAAAATGTCTTCCTTTCAATATTTCCTTTATCTTCAGGTAAAGAAAGTAGTCATTGGGAGCCAGATTAGGTGTGTAGGGAGGGTGTTCCAATATAGTTATTTGTTTACTGGCTAAAAACTCCCTCACAGACAGTGCCATGTGAGCTGGTGCATTGTTGTGATGCAAGAGCCATGAATTGGTGAAAAGTTCAGGTTGTCTAACTTTTTCACACAGCATTTTCAGCTCTTCCAAATAGTAAACTTCATTAACTGTTTGTCCAGTTGGTACAAATTCATAATGAATAATCCCTCTGAAACCAAGAAAAAGTTAGCAACATCATTTTGACTCTTGATTTGGACTGGTGGAACTTTTTTGGTTGTGGAGAATTGGCTGACTTCCATTGTGCACTTTGATGCTTTGTTTCAGGGTCATATTGGTACACCCATGTTTCATCAACAGTGATAACACAGGGGCCGGCCAAGTGGCTCAGTTGGTTAAGAGTTAAGAGAGCAAGCGCTGAGCAACAGGGCCACTGGTTCGATTTCCACATGGGCCAGTGACGCTGCGCCTGAACTGAGCTGTTGCTGAGCTGCCAGTTGGCAGGATGGCTTAGCTGGTGTAACAACAAGATTGCCTGTTCGATGGTGGGCTACGCCCACCTGCAACTAAGACTGAATTCAGCACCTTGAGCTGAGCTGCCGCCTGTATGGCTCAGTGGATAGAGTGTGCACTCTTAACAACAAGGCTGCTGGTTCGACTCCATGGGATGGTGGCTACGCCCACCCACAACTAAGACTGAACACAGCACCTTGAGCTTAGAGGCATGAGCTGCTGATGGGCAGCCAGATGGCGACTGGTGTCCTCCACAACGAAGACTGAAGAACAACTTGGCTGGTCCCTTTTCCCAATTCCCCAACACTGTTCCCCTCTCCCAATTCCCCAATAAAATCTTTAAAAAACAAAACAAAACAAAAAACAGTGATAACACAGCCCAAAACATCATCTTGCCTCTCCAAAAGGTCTTGGCAAACTTCGACTCTTCTTTGCTTTTGTTCACCAGTGAACTCCTTTGGGACCATTATTGCACACACCTTTCTCATGCCAAGATTTTCTTTTTGCTTTTTTTAAAGATTTTATTGGGGAATTGTGGGAGGGGAACAGCATTGGGGAATTGGGGAAGGGGAACAGACAAGTTGCTGTCCTTTTGTTCTTCAGTCTAGTTGTGGAGGACGTCGCTTCACTGGCCCATGTTGATATTATCATTGCGCTCTTCCTGGGTGAGGCAGTTGCTCGCTGGCCACTGGATGGCCGCTCATGGTGGCTAATGGCAGCTCACAAAAGTGCACGCCAGCTGCTGGCCAGCCCCACTGCAGTCTATGTCATTGCTGGTGACTCATGGCAGCACAGATCAAGGTCGAGCTGTTGTTCACCATCTTTAGCTGTAGAGGATGCAGCATCACTGGCTCTCTTGTAGGATCTGAACCAGGGCTCTGCTGCTCAGAGCTGCCATCCCAAGCCAACTCTTAATCAACACGCCACTCGGCTGTCCCATGCCAAGATTTTCAGTTAAGATTGTCTTAACTGTTTCTTCTCTGTTGATGTTTACTAGGTCTGCTATGCTTCTCACTGTCAGCTGATGATTTTGACGCACAATTTGACGAATTTTTGCAATATTTTAATCAGTTCTATTCGTTACTGGCCGCCCTGACCTCTCTTCATCAGTGACATGTTCTCTCCCCTCAGAAAAACATTTATTTGTACACTGCCGTTTTCTTCATGGAATTTCCCCCATAAACTTGGACTAACATGTTCCTGATTTCACTTACACTCTTGCCAAGTTTAACAAGAAATTGAATGTTTATTTGTTGCTCTAATAGACATTCTCATGATGGCACACAAAAACACGCAACAATAATGAACGCCACTTGTTGATATGAACACAGCCGTGAGACACTGATATACCAAGGTTATGAAACCTTACCGAGCTGTTGGTACAGTGGCACCAATGTAAGAACACAGTGGCAAGTTCATGAATGTAATTGTCAGACCTTGTATATTGTGAAATTATCAGTTTAGGTAACATCCATCACCATATTCAGTTACAAAATTTTTTTTCTTGTGATGAGAACTTTTAAGATTTACCCTCTTAGCAACTTTCAAATATACAATGCAGTATTATTATAGTCGTCATGCTGTACATTACATCCCCATGATTTTTATTTTATAACTGGAAGTTTGCATCTTTGACCACCTTCACCTATTTTGCCCATGCTTTCCATCCCCTGTCTCTGGCAACCACCAATCTGTTCTCTGTATCTATGAGCTTATTTTTTATTTTTGTTTTTAGATTCCACATGTACAAGTAAGAGAGATCATATGGTATTCGTATTTCTCTATCTGACTTATTTCACTTAGCATAATGCTCTCAAGGTCCCATCCACATTGTTTCAAACGCCCCCCCCCCTTTTTTTTAAAGAAAGAAATGGCACAAAATCATATGAATTTAGAACTTCTGAAAGGGAATTCTAATTGCTGCCAACCCTGGGACTTAATCACTGAGAGATTTTTCTGGGTATGTGCTTCCCAAAGGATCTAACATAATGAAAATCAGCTGAAGGCAAAAATTCACTAAAGTAATAACAATTAAAAAAAACAACTAAGACATTAGCAAGTAAGGGGTCTTCCTTATTTTCTACCTGAGTTGATTTAATGAAATCCAATGACTTTGTATTCTCCCACTGTCACAAATAAATTTATAGACCCTTTAAAAGAGTTGGAAGGGAACTGAATACCTATCTAGTGCAGAATCTTGAGAATAGCTTGCTTCAGAGGTGACCATTTTGGCTTTTGCTTGAATAGGAAATTCCCTATCCCACTTTTTGGATATTCTTTTTTTTTTTTTTTTTAGCTGAGCCATCCTGCCACCTGTTGGCAGCTCAGCGGCAGCTCAGCTCAGGCCGGATTCGAACCACTGTTGCTCAGAGCTCAAACCTTTGAGAGAGCTCTTAACCAACTGAGCCACTCAGCCGGCCCTGGATATTCTTAATTGTTAAGACATTCTTTTATTGAACCAAAATTAGCTTCCTTGTAATTTCTTTCTAGATTTGCAATCCTTTGCTACAAAGAACAAAAATTAGCAAAAGACCATCTCTTGATGGGAACCCACCCTTCATCTCATATCCCAGTAAGTCTCTTCCCTTTTTTTAAACATCCCCTTATTTAAGGAAGTGCTATAGCCTGGTAGAAAAAGCATGGATGGAGAAGTGAAGAGATGGGGTTCTACTTCCGCCTCTTGCATGATAAGTCAGCTGACTTTGGATGAGCCACTTCACCACTTTGGGCCTCAGTTTTTTTCTTGTAGTGTGAGGAAGTTGGACTCAGATGACCTTTAAGATTGTTTTCAACATTGGATTCTGGGTTCTTTTCAGCGCAGGCTTGTGTTAAATGGTTTGGTTTATCATCTTTTGTCTACACTCTTGTGGACACTGTCCTGGGAAGAAAAGAAAATATTTAATTGCTTGAAGAACAATATAATGGCTACTATTCTCCCTATAGAAAAATTAACCATTAATCAAAGTGCTTTCATTTATTTATGTTCTCTTCTAGTCCTCATCTGTAAATCTACATAATTAATTTTGCATGACTGGATCATATCAGGGATATAATTTATACTGTTTTTTACCCTTCACGGAGTCATGAGCATTTACGTATGTATTATTATGAAGTCTTCACATACATGTATTTTATTGAGATGTAATTCCATGCCATAAATTTCACCATTTTAAAGTATACAATGTAGTGGTCTTTAGTATATTCATAAGTTTGTGCAAACACCAATACTATCTAATTCTAGAATATTTTTACCACCCCAAAAAGAAACTCCACATCCGTTAACAATCACTCTCCATTCTCTCCTTCTTCCAGCACCTGACAACTACTAATTTACTTTCTCTCTATATATTTGCCTATCCTAGACATTTTATATAAATGGAATCATACAATGCCTCCTTTTGTGTATGGCTTCTTTCATTTGTTTTCAAGATTCATCCATGTCGTAGTATGCATTATCACATTTTTTTTGAAATAACATTATTATATTTTAATGCTGTATAATATTCCCTTGTTTGGGGGACATTTAGGGTATTAGTATATATTTTTGTTGTTATAAAGAATGCTGCATCGATATCTTCATGCTTCTAATTCTTCTATTCTCTTGAATTATTTCAGAATAAATTCCCATGGGCGGGATTACTGGGTCAAAAGGTATGAACATTTTTATGGCTCTTGTCAATATTGCTCTTAAATTGTGGTGCCCAGAACTAAATGCAATTCTCAGATGTGTTCAGACAGAACAGGGTACTGTGGGTTATTAAGTTCTCAAGGTCTGGACAGTATATCATCCTTTAAATCAAGCAGCCTAAGAATTTATTAGCTTTTTTTTGGTTGCTCACTGAGCTTATAGCCAATAAGGCCCTTAGATCTTTTCCTAGGCACTGTGTCTTAAAGCTATGTTTGCATTTACTCTGTGACCCAGTGGCTTTTGAGGACTCCCTGACTTGAATTTAAATATTTCTTTGTTTTCTTTTTTCTTTAACCGTGGGTGGCCCTAACAAGCTAGCAGGAGGAATGGGTTTATTGCAGTCTTAGCTAGGACCTGCAGATGGCGCCTTAAGGCTGTCACAAAGATAAACAAATTTTTTTTATTTTTTTTATTTTTTAGGTAGAGGCACCTCCATAGCAGGTTCATTACTGCAGTTCAGTCCTTCCCTTTTGTGGGGAAGGAGACAGCAACTGTGAAGTTGAATTTGTGTGTTATTCAGGGCAAGCTCCAACTGAAGCATGTTTTCTAGTTGTCATTTCATCTCCTAGGGGATTCTGGGGCAGTGTATTTCATGTTAGAGTTTTGCTTGAACACACACTTCAGGCCACTGCTTTGGCTTTTGAAGTTCATACCCTGAGAAGCTGGTTTTTTAATTCTCTTTATGTTCCTTGCCATCTCTTTCTCTTAGTCACTGAAAGGAATTGAAACTTGTTCAACTAGCTCGTTTTGTTTGTTTTGCTAAGGTGGGTGTTGAACAACAAAAGCAGAACATTTATGTAGCGTTCTAGCTAAATGAGGTTTCAATAGTTTGTTGCCCTTTTAATTTTCCTTTTCCTTTCCCTCCCAGTTCTCTTCTTTATCCCCACCTCTCATCCACCCTTTCCATAGTCCATCTGCTTATTTGCAAATGATAACTTTAAGAAAGACCTTGAATGTTCTGAATTTAAACCACTCTGACAAGTTTTAACAGAACAAAGTAGTACCTTGTGTGGGAAAATTAGAAGGGACTCATTTTAACTCATTCTCTGTTAGACTTGAGTCCCATTTTGGGGCTGACAAAGGTTGCAGGGCACATCCTCTGCTGGGCAGTGACTGAGTTAGCATGTGAACCTGGCTTTGCAAGCACCACCTAAAGGGCATTTTCTTCATAGCATCAATAGGTCAGGCACATTTCAGATGAATTAGAATCAAGAAAAGAATGGGAGGAGTCTTGGGGGAATATAAATATCTTCTACTCATATGTTTCCCATTCACAGGTCTGACTGCCAGTGAGCCTCGTGTTACTCCCCCACCTCTTCTTCCTCATCCATAACCACCAGTTTGGACTTGGCTTCTCTTGCTTCTTTCTCCTTTTCACTCCTGGGATCCACAGCAGAGTGTACGTGTACTGCTTTTGTATATAATTTGGATTGGAAAGCAATTAACTGCTCAGTCCAGGCAAGTGGTGCCATATTTTTATATTCCTCGACCGGAAACTCATTGCCTAATGGCAAGTTGACTTTTTTTGCATAGCTAAGAGACTGATCCTTTCAGATCTATCTCCCTTCAAACTCTAATTCTTTTCAATCAGTGTGTTTCTTGTTCTCATGTTAATGCCTTTGCTGATGTCATTCTTCTTTCCTATAATTCTTTTTCCTTTCTGCTAATCGAAATCTTTATACTTCTTTTATGATCCAGCTTAAGGCTTATCCCTAAATGATGCCTTCACTGATTAATTCCATATCCAGGCATCTTTCCCCTTGAATTCCTTCAGCATTCTGTCTAGTCTGTATCATTCTATCTAGCATTTTCTTACATGTTGCCATATAATCATTCTGTCTCATGTTTGTAAGTCTTGTCTCCTTAACTATGTCAAAGGCTCTTGTATGCAGGGACTGTCTTCTCCCAATGCAACCAATAGGACGTTTACTAAATGTGGTAACTTATTTAATAATTTAGAGCTTCAGTTTTCTCATTTGTCACATGAGGATAATGATGCCTGCATCACAGGGATGTTGAAACAATCAAATGAGACAATGTGTTGAGAAACCATAAAACATTTACAGAGGATAGACATTAATTTTTGAAAGATAGTGACAATCTGGGCTGGCCGAGTGGCGCGTTGGTTAAGAGCTGGCTTGGGACACCAGCTCTGAGCAGCAGGACCCCAGTTCAGATCCCACATTAGGCCAGTGACACTGCCCTCTACAGCTAAGATGGTGAACAACAGCTCGACCTGGAGCTGGGCTGCCATGAGCCACCGGTGACGGCATAGGCTGCAGCCCCTGCTGCAGTGGGCTGCCATAAGCTACCGTGTGGCTGGCAGCCAGCGTGAGCAGCCAGCAGCCAGTGTGAGCTGCCAAGAGCCGCCATGAGCGGCCGTCCAGAGGCCGGTGACCCATCTGCCTCACCCGGGAAGAGTGCAATGATAATACCAACATGGGCCAGTGAAGCGACGTCCTCCACAACTAGACTGAAGAACAAAAGGACAGCAACTTCTCTGTTCCCCTTCCCCCGATTCCCCAGCGCTGTTCCCCTCCCTCAATTCCCCAATAAAATCTTAAAAAAAAAAAATAGTGACAATCTGTATAAATGAAAGAGAATTCTGAAATTCCATAAATGAACTTACAGTAAAGCAGTATTAGTTATATGTCTTACATATAGAAACAAATACACTAAAGATCAAATTCAAGTTTTTAATAAAACTCATTGTTTAAAATCTGAATTTTGGTTTTGACATTGCCACTAATTTCATGACATAACAATTTACCCTTTGATAATTTAACACCTTTTCCAGCTCTAAACATTTGATATACAACTAAATTTGGGTGTCTTACCCATGTCTTTGGACCTCGGTTTTGTTATCTGTAAGATGGGAAATGCCAAGTGAATCTATAATAGGACTTTATAGAATGCATCTTCAAAGAAACATTAATCTTGTTCAGAAGTCTCTTGGGAGAAAAAAAGTTTCCTTGGGGGAAGCTACATACTATATAGTGTATTCTTTTCAATATTAGCAAAGCACATTACCATAGTAAATGCTCTGAGAAGTAAAGCAACCAGTTTAACTTGATGTTACCCAAACTTATTTGGACTTCAAATAGTTATTTCAGATAACATCTATTTAGCATCTCATGAAACTAATTTTCTAAGATACACAGTTTAGACTGCCAACATGAATATTCTTAGGTATTAGGGGTAGTCCAAACAAAGGGAAAAGTACACTTTATGAGATGTTCTCTGCTAGTCTTCATGCCTAGTGTGGCTTGTAGCTTCAGTTTAGTCAACAGAGACTTTAAAAACTCACATTCCTCAGTTATCGTCATTGATTATCAAGTTTCCAAGATCATGAGTAAAATTTTTATGCCTCTCAGACTACAGTTTAACTTCGGCCTCTTTTTCTTCCTAGTAAAAATATGGAATCTGGCAATCATTTACTTCAGATACAAAATATCAACTCAAAACAAAAATACAACAAAAGTTCTCATCTCCAGGATCTACTTGAAACGTATCAAATTAGGTCAGGTTAATATCTATAGAATATATCTGCCAAGATGAAGATTATGTCATGATTTATTTTTAGTTCTAGTTTGCCACTGGATCATTAGGTAACGTGGGATTAATTAATTCCCTTAAGGCTGAACTGAGACATATGGATGTTATTTCAAAGCGATCTTCTTCCGTAATCTTTAGCAGTTACTCTAATCATTTCAGAAATCTGGTGGGGGGGTTTTTGTTTGCTTTCTTCAGAGTAGGCCACAAGAATTATACACGTTCAATTTATTACAGCATTTCTTTTCCTCCAATATAATTTATAGATTTTAGACAATTTGCAATTATTTCAAAGTAGGGAATGATCAGTTTGTTTTATTGTGAGGTATGGCATACAAAATGGAAAATGTATAGGTACTATAAAGAACAAGGATAAAATTAATCTTTGTAACCCAGGTCCAAAAGGTATTTTTGAAAACATTTGTTCAGTGTCCTTTTACAGGCTGAGTGTGACAAGGAGATAAGACAAAGGTGGGCCATGCAGTAGGGGTACTTGCAAACCCCACTCAGCAAGACATATGCTCTATGTGACTCACCTTCCTTGTAGGGTTATTTCTTGAGTAAAATTTTTGTGAGGAACATGTCTGTACTGCCACCCCAGGGACTGAGCAAAATGTTCCTCTCAACCACACCCAGAACTGTCCCTTAGAGGAGATCTGTTAAATATGATATTGTTCACCACATTAGATTTCCAGTGATGTTTTACAGCTCTCCTAGATTAGGCCTAGGCATGCCCCTTAATTCACCTCCCTTTACTTTATGTGGGATCCACATGTAAAACTCTCTCATTAGGCCAGGGCACTCTTAGGAGAGGCATCATGACTTACCTAAATAGACCATAAGGTTTCCAAGAGTGGGGACTTTTTTTTCCTCCCAAAGAAACTATTGGGTTGTCGGAGAAGCCATGACACATTTTTGCAACTAAAAATATAGAAAACATATGTCATGGCTTTTCCGACAACCCAATATATTGGTTTTGCAGCAGCAACAGGCCTTATAATGAAGGCGTTTTTGGAGTGATTTTTGATAGATGAAATCAGTCATTATAGAACAAGATCTTGCATGCTATTGGTTCAGGTTCCATTCTTCAGTATGAAGTTTTCTATTAACCAGGGTCATATCATCTGGCTCCAACTCTGTATGGGAAGGAAGGGAAATTGTGGAAAAGTTAGTCACTCCTTCCACTTTGTGCCTTTGTGTTTCAGCACTTATCACGTTATTATAGTTAATTATTTAATAGCTTATATCCTCCTTTACAACTGGATACTCTCCTTTGGGATAATGATCTTGTTTTATTTTGTTAAGTGACTCAATGCGTAGAACAATGCCTACCACTCATTGGGTACTTATGTCAATTTAGTGAATGAAAAGAGCAGATATTTGGATGGTCTCCTATTTGAAAGAAGATTCAATAGTAAGCAACATTTGGTATAGTGCTGGATGACCTACTCTTCTGCTTCTTTATATCTGTAAATGATATGGTGGGATTAGATTAGGCATCATTAACTAGGGGTCTTGGACTCCAGGAGATTTTCGAGCCCCACCCCATGCAAAGTTAAAAACCAACGATATTTACTACACTATTCCATTATGTGTACTACCACTACAATGACAAACATGTGGACACCAAAACTACATTGTGCCTGTAGCTATACACACACCGTTATACACTCTAGGATTTGTCTAGAGCCCCTTATGCTTTGGTCATAAAAGAACATGAGGACAGATTCTGACAAATCTTTTCAATGCTGATTGTTTAAATTCCCAGCTTGCAGCTGCTCCTAACAGATTACCGACCAGTTCACAGTAGAGTGCTTCACATATGCACACTAGCTAGCAAGGTGCATAAATATTAGAGATGGTTCTGTACCCCCTGCCCCGGGAAGGTTGGGAATCCGACCACAAAGACTGAGTATTCAACAGAAAGATTCGACGGGTGGTGTGACTGACCACAGACAAACAGAGGGATGCGGACGCTGAACAGATCAGAAAAGCGACTCAGCAATGGACTGGGGCAGTGTGTCGGGCGGACGTGGCCTAGAGAACCCTCAATTCGCTCTCTTGGTTATCCTTCGCTAGGCTGGAGCGGGGCCTCCTTCCCCCCGCATCCACGACAGGCCTCTATGGCCTCCCAGGAGGCTGAGCGGCCAGGTCCGGATTTCCCGGCGTTTCTCGCAGCCGGTATCTCTGAAATGGCTTTTTCGAGTAAACCTTGGATCGGGAAGGAGGCGAAGGGGAAAGTAGATTTAAGCTCTAGGGGCAGAGACGTAAGGGGCGAAAGGGAGGGTGGCCTGACAGACCGTGTTCCGGCCAGGACCTAGAAAAGTAAAGTCCCTCGCGCGGTTCCCCTCGGGGCGCCCGCCTTCGGCCACCTCCGGGGGAGTTTCGGCTCTTTCCGGCAGTTTCAGCTCGAGCCCTGCACTCCCAGCGCGCGCCATCCTCCACCCTACGCTTTCTCTGGGCATGGGCCGTTCCGCACGTGGATGCGAACACGCGTTCCACCCGTCCCCACTTCTACCTAGTTTGTTCCCGATCCATTCTTCCCAACCCCTTTCCTTCCTCGTTATCCCAATCCCCGGCGACGCCCGAGCTCCCTTAACTCAGGCGCGCGACCCGGCGGGCGATGCGAGGCGCGAGGGACCTGGTCACAAGAGGAGCGGTAACCCGACCCACCCGAGTCCACCTCCCGCTCCGCGCCCCTCCACCCGCAGGTCCCGGGTGCGCGGGCCAACTCGCGCCCAAGTCTGGCTCGTGAGCCGGTTGGCCGCAACTGCCTCGAGCTCGGCGTGCCGGGTTCTCGCCGGCGCGAGCACGCGCCCTGTGCGCTGGTTAGCTGGCGCGCACGCGCCCGTGCGGGCTCCGGGGCGGGGCGAACAGCACGAGCCCCGGCGGTGTCGGTGTGGACGGGCTGGCGCTCCGGCCCCCGGCCGCGGCAGCGATTCCCAGCCCTCGGGCCGGCGGAGAAGGGAAGCGGGGTTAAGGGCGGTGGGGGCGGGGCGGCGTCCAGCTCTGGGAGAGCTGTGGGAGGAGCGCAGCGGCGACGGCGGCGGCGGCTCTAGAAGACCAAAAGGAGGCGGCGGAGCTTCTTTCCTCTTCTCAGACCCCGGAGCGTCCGGGACGCAGAGCCCGGAACTGGAGGGACGCGGCGACTGCGGGGGCCCGGCGTAGGTGAGGCTGAGGGTGGTGGGTGGAGGGCGTTGTTGGGGGGATAAAGGGAGCACAGAGGTGCACAGAACGGGCTTTAGGGAAGGCACGGGGGAAGGGGTAGTTGTTGGGGGTTGGGGTACGGAGAGGAGGGAGATGTGAGCCCTTTGGGACGTGGAGTGCCAGATGGTGAAAGGTTTCTAGGGTCAGTAGGGCGGGCCGAAGCACACGGGTCCGAGTTGAGGTGTTTCCAGAGGCATAGGCCGGGGAAACAATGGAGCGAGGGGCGACTCTGGTGTGACCGTGTGTGGGGTGTTGGATTTTAAGAAACAACGAGAGATGGAAAAGAATGAAAGAATGGGTCATTTGGGGTAAGTACAATGAATTGGGGATGCGTAAGGTCATCTGCGTGGGTGCCCGAGGTCCTGAAGATTTTGGGGCAAAGTGGGATTTGAAAATCAGAGATAGAAGGGCATTCTTGGAATTGAGGGGGAGAACGGAACGGAAAATAAGGCAAAGGGGCAGAAAAATAAAATAGATGTGGTTTGGCCTTGAATTAAAGCAGAAGGGTAGATCTAATTAGTACCGAGTAGATGGACTCGAGTGGCATCTTTCTCCGAATTCATCCACGATGATTGGGTTCTTTTAGAAGGTAGATCTTTCTCGGGCTTATTCCTCTGCTAAGGAGTACAAGCTGCTTTTTACTAATTTGGTTATTTATAGTCCGTTTCGATGAAAAAGCATGCCTGTAATATTTATTTCTCCTTTGTTCAGGAGGTTACTGAACATAATTTACCTGAGGTTAATGAAGCAGGAGAGGACAGATTACCAAAAATAGAGATCTTGCTTTGAGTCAAGTCAATGGTAATGCAGAGTTCAGGGTGTTTGGGGGAGAACCTAGAGTTTGTTTTTCATTTAGACCAAAAGGTTATGAATAGCCTTGATAAAATCGAAGTTAGCTATACTTTGTAGAATTGCAGTTTTTCACTGAGAAATGTGCATGTACCATCTGCTATTGATTTTATGCTCGTGGGAGAGAGAGTGGGTGCTGCCTCAAGAAATTCTTGATGCCGGTTTCAAATTATTAGGCTGTCTCGTACCTTCCAGTTTGAATTAAGGTGATTTGAAAATATTGTGGGAAAGTATTTCTGGGGTTATGATCTTTGCATTTCCTTGATACTTGGATTTCTAGACTAAGTTTTTAATGGTATTAGATACAAGATTGCTGATTTTGAAATTGTAGTTACCATTATGTGTTCATAAATAGCTTTTTATTTATTGGGCATTAAGTTTTGCTGACTCATTTAAGATTTCTTGGATTCATCAGTTTATATTTTTTTTAGCTAGGTCTCAAATAGTAACATTAGGCCACTTGATAAAAGTCCAAAAATAATTATCTAAATTGTCACTTACATGTTATAAAAACTGAACAAAGAAAGAAGTGAGTGCATTGTCCTCATTAGTGATAATGTGGCTCTTTATTGACTTCTTTCAGTGGGCTAAGCAAGGTGCTGAGATTTGTTTTGCATGCATTATCTCATTTAATCTAATCCCTACAATTATTTCCTACTTTATAAATTAAGAGGTGAAATAACTTATTGAGGTCACAGAGCTAGTAAATAAAGCTCTGTTGGATGTCTTCTTTGAGTCAGACTGGTGGTTCTTACTGCTCTCTCCCTCCTCCAATGTTGGTTGTGTAGTACAAGCAACATGAATTGGTTGAAACTTGAGTCTGCTATGATAATAGTGATTTAGATGAAGATTGGGTTAGTGGGCCACATCTGTAGTTCATTGAATGTTTACTGCTCCTGTGATTTAACAAATCTTCTGGGGTCCTGATAATAGGGCTAAAACATCTTGCTAAGGGTTTTCCCTGTGAGCACTTTATTTTCTGTTTAGTCTAGTGTATTGCTGACGTACTGTGCATACGTGGCACTCTTGCAGAAGTCAAGACAGCCAGTTGTGGAACCACAACTAGTTCACTCTGGAAAACAATAGAAAACTGCTGAGTGCTCAAGTGCCCTCCAAGCACCTGTTGAGTCCACAGTTGGTACTGGCATTATCTCTAAATATAGACAGGATCCTCTTAGAAACTCAGAGCGAAATAGCTAGAACTGAGAGAAACAGCTGGGGTCTGAGGGAGGAGCCATAGGTTAGGCTAAAGCTAAAACATCAGCACAGCCCCTGGAGGCTGATCCAGGAGTAGCAAAGGGCTGCAGATACTGGTTAGTGAATGGCAGGAGGGGAGATAATTTTTATGTGTTGAATATTTATGTATTCTAGGTGCTGAACTCACCGTGTTGCATACATATTATCTTATAAGATCTTCAAACAGCCCTTTTAAGGTAGGTGTAAGCATTATCCCCATTTTTCAAATGAGGCTCAGAAAGGTTAAGTAATTTGTACAAAGTCATTTAATAATGGCAGCGAAGGAAATTTATAATAATAATAATTATTATTATTATTTTGATTGCTGCTTGCAGTTTCCCACTCTAGAACCACCATATTAAAGTTGGGAACTGTGCTTCCTTGTTAGAAGTAAAACGGGTTATTTCAATCTTGCTGCTTCCATTGGAGACTGGAAGAAAAAGCTTGGTTTATTTTTGTTTTTTTTTTCTCCTGATTTACTCGTTGGGAAGGAGAGCCCATTCATTATTTAGCAAATTACCTGTTGTAGAATATAAGTCAACTTCTTCAGTTGCTTGGTATATATCTGTAGCAACATGAAAATGGCATGTCCATCCTTCTATTCTGAGGACTTGACTTTCTAGGCTCAGGGGATGACAGTGAAGCATGCCAGTTACAGACTGTTACCACTTCTCTTGATATGTTATTGCCACAAAAGTTTGACCATCATTTTTGCTTGGTGACTTTAAAAAAATTGTGGTAAAATATACATAACATAAAAATTACCATTTAAACTGTTGTTTTTTTTTTAAAGATTTTTTTAGTTGGGAAATTGGAAGGGAACAGCGTTGGGGAATCGGGGAAGGGGAACAGACAAGTTGTCCTTTTGTTCTTAAGTCTAGTTGTGGAGGACATTGCTTCACTAGCCCACGTTGGTATTGTGATCATTGCGCTCTTCCTGGGTGAGGCAGTCGCTCGCCGCCTTCTGGACAGCCGCTCACAGTGGCTCTTGGTAGCTCACACGGGCTGCCGGCCATTCACTGTAGCTTATGGCAGCTCACTGCAGCAGGGGCTGCAGCCTATGCTGACGACTCACGGCAGCCCAGCTCCAGGTCGAGCTGTTGTTCACCATCTTAGCTGCAGAGGGTGCAGTGTCACTGGCTCTCATGTGGGATCTGAACTGGGGCCCTGCTGCTCAGAGCTGGCGTCCCAAGCCAACTCTTAACCAACGCGCCACTTGGCCGGCCCTAAACTGTTTTTAAATGTACAATCCAGTGGTATTAAGTACGTTCACATTGCTGTGCAGCCATCACCACCATCCATCTCCAGAACATTTTTATCTTCCCAAACCTAAATTCTGTTCCTATTAAACGGTAACTCCGCATTCCTGTCTTTGCCCCAGACCCTGGCAACCACCATTCTACTTTCTGTCTTTATGAATGTGACTATTCTAGATACCTCATATAAATGGAATCATAGTATTTGTTCATTTGTGTCTGGCTTATTTCCTTAACACAATGTCTTCAAGGTTCATTAATGTTTTTTAGCCTGTGTTAGAATTTCATTCCTTCTTAGGACTGAATAACATTATATTTCATGTATATACCACACTTTGTTGATCCATTCATCTGTCACTAGACACTTGGGCTGTTTCCATCTTTTGGCTATTGAGAATAGTTCTGCTAGAAATATTCGTGTACAAATATCTGAGGAGTCCTTGCTTTTAGTTCTTTTGGGTGTATACCCAGAAGTGGGATTTCTGGGTCACATGGTAATTCTTTGTTTAATTTTTTGAGGAATATTTGTTACTTGTAAATGGTGGTTTTATGATGTGGTCACCTGAAGATAGCACTTGGTCTTATGTTTGAGGGATGATGTTTCCTCTTAAGTTTTTCTGTACTATTCACAGGACATTTGTACTGGAAATGATTCAAAAGGAAATGATTTACCCAGTTTTCATGGCTCTCTTTTAGCTTCTGCCTGCTTATATTTATGTATCATGACATGCGGCAAGCATATTAAAATATGTTTCAACTTATAAATAAAAGTACTTTTGAAAAACTTCTAGACATTTCAGGTGATGAAGAAAATGGGAGTTTCTGTTCTAAAGTGTTAAAGTGTCCAGTGTGGAAGGAACCATTTGTTACATGCAGATCTCTGTAAATGTGTATAATCATCTTAGGAATATCTGTATGTGTATCTGAAAAATGTGTCAATAACATAGAGCATTTTCAGTGTACTTTGCTGCCTTGGTTTGTAATTCAGGGCACTTTTTTCATTTAAAAATGTTTTACGGGGGCCGGCTGAGTGGCTCAGTTGGTTAAGAGCTCGCTCCGGAGTGCAAGCTCTGAGCAACAGGGTCGCCGGTTCGATTCCCAGCCCGAGCTGAGTTGCTGCTGAGCTGCCAACAGGTGGCAGGATGGCTCAGCTAAAAAAAAAAATGTTTTATGGTGTGGTTGGTTAGCTCAGGTGGTTAGAGCGCAGGCTCTTAACACCAAGGTTGCCTGTTTGATTCCCACATGGGCCAGTGAGCTGCGCTCTCCACAACTAGATTGAAGACGACGACTTGACTTGGAGCTGATGGGTCCTGAAAAAACACACTGTTCCCCAATAAAGTTAAAAAAAAATGTTTTACATGTATGAGCGGCAGGTTACTGCTAACCTTTGGTATCCCTTCATTCATTGAAAAAAGACTGAGTGCCTGCTATATATTTTAAATATTTCAATAAGGTAGCTGTAATACAGGAAGTAAATTTGGCTGAAGTCATTGGTTTGACTCCCATTTTCGTTCCCTCCCTTCATATGTGAGAGAGAGTTGTCACACAGTACCAAATACAGTAGGTTGAAATAGCTGCAAACTGACAGTGAACTGTCTCTTAGGATGGGTCTCACCTCCCATTTCATTTTTTCCAAATGTCACAAGGATGTTAATTATCCCTGCATCTTGCCTCTTGAGATTATTAGGTTACAAAGGGACTTTAGGCTCATGTGCCATTTTCTGGGAGCCTCATAGGAGACTTAGTGAGCCCACATCTTACCTTGGAGGTGGTCTGTTGGTTCTGAAATAATTCTAAAGATTTACAGTTTGTAAATATCTTTTCTTTAGGTTACTGGATATTAAGGGTTGGTCAGAGGCCAGCATTTAAATGTTCCAGTCTACCATGGTGGCCTATAGGGGTGGGTTCCTGAAATATACATCATTATCTACACAGATTCTGCAGTAGTGCCAGGCCCTTGACATAGTGGGCAGGGTCTGAGGATATAGCCATTAGCTTAACGGCAACTCCTGCAGTCATGACTAATTTGTGGTTGGGGGTTACCTGTGAATTCGTACTAGTTCAAGCCCTAAATAATAACTTCAGATTGCTAGTAAGGAGGATTTTTACATTACTTAATTAGCAGAATGACATGATTACTAGCTGTGGAGTGTGTGTGTGTGTGTGTGTGTGTGTGTGTTCGTTCGTGTTCTTTAGAATTGGCTAAAGGGTATTGGGATTGAGGAGGTATGTTATGAGGCCATTATATGATTATAGATGAGTCATGATAGGTAAGTGCAGTCGTCTTTTGTACTTAAAGATGCTGCCAATGATGTTACTTCCTGTTGACCTGTATAGGCCTGAAAAGACCACTTTGTAAAACCTGCAGTCTTTCCTCTTGAATACATCTGATCTGTCTAGTAGTAAATGGTTTGCTGTTGTTTTAAGGCTAGTGCCAGTAGTAGAGCTATACTTTAAATTACCCACTTGGTCTCTGATTACAGCATGCCAGTATGGTCAGCTCACTGCTGGCTTGTCCTTGTTATCTTTTGTTAGTTGATTGAAAATGTACATTAGTTGCCGGAGACCGGCTCCCACAAGTCCAGGGGTTCCCTCAGGTGGAGACGGCGTCGGGGAGGAAAGAACGCGGAGACAGAGAAGCGCTTTTCAAGAATTTAATGTCTCACTTTATTTTTACAGCCTGTCCTTTTTATACTGGGCAGGTAACTATTTACATCATTGAGCTGTTTTTCCCAAAGTTGTTTTTCCACTTTAAACCTTTACCCATTAGGAAATTGTTTTCTACATAGTTTCAATGTTCCTTCCTTCCCAGGGTCTATTTTCTTTAGAAGTTTGTTTTTCTCGAATTTTACTTCCTCACCGATGTTTCTGTTACAGGGTACAGCCGATCTGTTCTTCACTAATGACTAACTTATCCTAACTATGTTTCAATTTCTTCCGCTAATGGCCAGAGCTGAGTTCCTGCCTTGGCACTTAAAGGATGTTTACTACTTAGCAACTATTTCAAACTCTACTGGCTAAACAGGATCTTAAGAATTATAAGGTACATAACTTGTCTATCACTAATAATCTATCATTTAAGAAACTAACAGTAAAACAGAATTATCGTAATATGTCCAAAACGCACTTATTTAAAGAAAATAAAACAATATAAGAAGGGGTGTCAGATCTTTATCCTACTGGGGGCATTCAAAGGGGAATTTAAATTTTTGAAAACATAAAGCAGTATCTGTTTCTCAGCCAGAGCTTCAGAATTTGTCACAATAGCAGTGTGATAGGCCATGTCAGACACTGAGGTGCAGCCGGCTCCCAACAATTAGTGTGTGGTAGTAGTGAACCTTCTGCTTTGTTTAGTTATCCTTCTGTATTTTTATAGTAAATTGCCTTCATAGCTTACCTGCATATCTGGCACAAGCCCTCAGTACCAGGATCTCATCATAAGAAGCTCCCTGATATTTGATGAAAACAGTGAAACTTGTCTATAACTAAGATAGAATGACAGGAAGCTAAAATATTGTACCTGAATGGTAGGTGTTACAGAACTACCCAGACTAAATCAGCCATTTAGCTTAGACACAAGGTTGATGTTTTTTACATCTTACTAGTCAATACCCAGTAGGTTTCTTGAACTGGTTATCTAATTCCTTGTTAAGTGGACAGTGCTTTAAACAAGGCTTAGTTGGGTAATCTTTTTCACCTCTGCCATTACTCAAAGGTTGTATTTTATGTTAGTCTTTTACAAGTTGATATTTAACATTTCTCATTGGTCCGCCTGCCCATAATGTTCTGATGATCCTATCAGTTAGACTACAAGGTATTATTATGTGATGTCATGTAATTCGGGAGCACAGGAAACAAATCAACAACAATGATGACTAAATTTATGTTTGGATGTCTAATTTGATGAAGTAGAAAAAGCTCTTGAAAAAGGAGGGGTATGT